TGGCTAGAAGGGCCACATCAAGCAATTCACTGCAGTCATAATCCAGTTCTTTGTGGTATTGCTCCAGTTGTTCCAGCTTTGGCCATTGAATTGGTGCCTGTTTTTCTGAACATACCCTTGACATATTGGAGCCCTTCCTTTCCTTCCTTGTACTAAGTTTTCATGCATTAAGGCTCACTCTCTTTGCTGTAAAGTTCTCTGGGTTTAGACAAATGCATCATGTTGTGTACCCACCATTTTAGTGTCTCACAGAATAGTTCCAGGCTCTCAAAATTGCTTCTGTGCTTCACCTGCTCATCCCTCTCCTGCTTAACGTCTGAAGGTTGGTTGATTATATTTATTTTTAGTTGTGTGGTTTGATCAAAAGGACTTCTACCTTCTATATATTATAAAATTTAATTTCCTTTAAAGCAATCTTTTATTTTTTCCTTTTTAGATCTCTTGAAGCACTGCTAAATCAGAAGAGGCCTCAGTATATTAAAGCCAAAGAAAACACTTCTCACCACCTGAAGAAATTGGAAGCAGCTAAGAAATCAATAAAGGACATTGAAAAACAATACTCTAAACAGGAAGATGACATAAAAGCCCTGGAAACGGAACTGGTTGACTTAGATAGTGCATGGAAAAGTTTTGAAAAGCAGGTTGAGGAAGAAATCTTACATAAAGGGAGAGATATTGAGCTGGAAGCAAGTCAGGTGAAAAAAAAATATAGGAAATCTTATTTTTATTGTTTCAGTTTCTCCTTCTAATTGGAACAAATTTAAAGGATGGCCTCTTACATTTTAAGAGGTCATCCTAAAAATGTTAAATTATAGGGATGTAATTTTAATCTTTAGACTGAGCTTTTTTTCTTTATAACCAAATCAGTTGCCATGGAGTCACTCTGACGCATGGCAGTCCCATGTGTGTCAGAGTAGAGCTGTGTCCTATAGTGTTTTCAGTGGCTGATTTTGGGGAATTCAATCTAGGGAGACTCGAACAGCCAACTTCTCAGTTAACAGCCAGGTGTGTTCATTGCACCACCTAGGGACTCCATAGAGGGCATTGTAGCATTTATGAATCTGTTGAAGTTCTAAAAGATACTTTACAATGGTCACATGGTATCATCTTGGAATAAGATGTAATGAGTTAAATTACATTCTTCAAATGAGGTTGATATTATTCATGTTGATTTTTTTAAGTCTTCTGTATTACTTCTTCAGAATGAAGTCATAAACCAAAAGGGAAAATTGAGATTCTGATCAGAGGCTTTGGCAGTCAGTGATCTGAGAGATAAATTTTGTTTAATTTATAACCTTTTCACATCTGTTTTAAAATTTTCTTGCTTTCTCCTTCACCCAAGTTAATAAGTATCTACCTTCTAGTTAGTGGTTTACCCTCCCTTCCCCTTCCACTCCTGGTAGCCATCAAAGAATATTTGTGTGTGTGTGTGTGTAACCCTCTTGACTTTTTACAATAATGGTTTCATACAGTATTTGTCCTTTTGTGACTGACTAATTTCACTCAGCATAATGTCCTCTAGGTTCATCGGTGTGATGAGATGTTTCACAGACTCTTAAAAGTTGCATAGTATTCCATTTTGTGTATGTATCCTAGTTTGTCGGTCCATCCCTCTACTGAGCATTTAGGTTGTTTCCATCCTTTTGCTATTGTGAATAGTGTGTATATATATATAAATTAAGTTTTATTTTGATTTGGTTGAAAATTTACAGAGCAAGTTCACTTGTGAATAGTATCTTTTTAAGGTAATTGTTTTTCCTCTCATGAATCTTATGAAAACTTTAAGGTCAGATATATGTGAGCACTTAATTGACAAGAGGAAATTGGTTATTGAGGTGATGGGAGAGGTTAAGTGATAAATTAATATCCAATTTAGTATGTAAGATTTAATCATAAGAAATGAATAGTACATATCCAAAAATAAGTAGCTCAGCTCATTATTTGTATGATAACTGTGTATCACAATATATATAAAACAAAGAAATTATACATCTATAAATAGGAAAAAGTACATAATTTTCTCTGGACTTCTCTTGCTTTTAGAGTATTATGGAGTTTCAGTCTCCTTTCCTTTTCAAGCATTTCTGACCTTTTAGAGTTTGTTTTGAATACCTTGTTGGTCTACTTAAATGGTTTTAAGTAAGAAAAAGTTTATGTTCACATTATTTTACCTGGAGAAGATGGCCACCTATATGATCTAATCTGTATAAGACATATTCTTGATAATATTAATTATCTTCTGGTAAAGAATTTCCTTTCATGCTTCTTTAAGTGAGTTAGCTATGTCCACCTGCTGTTTATACAGCTGGATCGTTACAAAGAACTTAAAGAAAAAGTAAGAAAGAAAGTGGCCATGATGACCCAACAACTGGAGAAACTGCAGTGGGAGCAGAAGGCCGACGAAGACAGACTGGCATTTGAGAGGAGGAGGCATGGAGAAGTTCAGGTACCTTAGCTCGCGCAGCAGTGGCTTAGAGGCATTTTATTTCCTCTCTACATTGGCTTTTTGTTATGTCGGTGGATTTTCATCAAACATAGGCAAGAAATCAAATGTTCTGGGTTGCCTGTCGTGGTGCCTGACATTCTTTAGATGCTCTTTGAGGGTCTAACGTAAGACTAGACAGTGCCTTCGTTGTGTATTCAGTAAGCATCGTCATGCATCTATATAGTGATAGATGCTGGGTGGATTCAAAGAGGATAAAGTCTGTTCTTACATGTAATTTAGCCCACTGGGACTTGAGGGAGGTTAGATAAAGTGAGAAAAACGAAGAAATGCCATAATAGCAGTGGATACAAAGTCATTGGAAACATTGAAGCATACCCGGTGAGGAGCTTACTAGTCTACCTGGGAAGTATCCATCGAGACAACTATATGTTTAGTAGGTCAACAAGTGTTCTGCCTTCGGGGAAGGCAGGCTACTTCCAGACTGTCTTGGAGCTCCAGCACTGCCTTGGTAACCTTGGTAAATAACTACACTGTTTTACTTCTCTGGCTATGATTTCTTCATTTCTACAGTGAAGACAGTGATGGCAGACTAAGTATGATGAACATGAGTGTGGTAACACACCTGGCTTCTAGTCTGTGCCTCGTGACTCCTTAAGGCTCGTCAGTGGACTGTAGAATGACTGGGATGTCACAGTCAACAGTAACTGCCATTTTTCTTATGTTACAGAGTTTAAAAGGTTTCCACGGGCCATCCTTAAAAACATGACCACCATTTCTAATAAAGGCAGGAATGGGGAAATGACCTGAATTATACACTCATTGGATTTATAAGTGAATATTTGGAATTTAGAGGGAAAACTTGTATTGCTTACGTTTGCTAGAGCCTTCACATCTCACAGCAACACTGAGGGTGGGTGTTCTGGTTCCCTAGTGCCACTCTGACAAGAGATATACCACCAATGGGATGACCTTAACAAACAGGAGTTTATTCTTACAATTTGGAGGCTTTAAGTCCAAGTTCAAAGTGCTAGGCTCTAGGGGCTAGGTGAAAGCCCCTCAACCTTGGGGGCCAGCTCTGCCTCCTGCTCCTGGCCCACTGGAGCTGGAAGCGTTTCTTTACTCAGACAGCTGCTGGCTGCTGAGGCTGACAAACCCCAAGGTTGACAATCAAAAGGCACAGTCTTGATGTTACCAAACCACACGGCAGGCCATTAACTTAAGTCCATTTTAAGTTCCAAGATTGGCAGAGCATAGCAGGCTGCTGAGCAACAACACAGCTACATGCAGGGTCCAAGCGTGCCATAGGCTAGAGACCATTCTCAAAGCTTCTCCTTATATATGGAAGCAAACCACATACCCAAAGACAGCTACCCAGCTGCTTGTGGTAGATCCCACCATGGAGCTGATTGCCAGTCTCCTCATGGGGATTAACTACCACCAGCTGCCCAGCCACTCAACCAGGCCCAGCCAAGTTGACACACAAACCAAACTACCACAGTGGGTCTTTGCCCTCGTGTGACAAGAAGAAGCTGAGGTGGGGCTTTCAAAGCTACATATGTCTCTCAGACAGGGCCTGCTGTTTTCTGGGAATAATAGCAACAGCAGTAACCATAGCCTTAGAATATATCAAGCACTACTATAAATCTGGTTTATTACTCACAGCAGCCTTACAAGGCAGACACTACTGTTTCTCTCTTTTTACCTCTTGTGTACACTCAGGGTCTTAGTGATCTCATCCAGTCTCTAGCTTTAAATACCATCTGCTGATGACTCTCTCTTGCCTGGACTATACATACACTCACCTCCAGCTGCACCCCCAGCATCTTCGTTTTAGGTGCTGAGCAGATGTGTCAAACCCCACCTGACCTTCTGGGTCTTCCTGCCCACATGTGCCCCCCATGTGGTCTTTCCCAGCTCAGGTGGTGGTGGTTCAATCTTACTGGTTGCTCAGGCCCCAAAACCTTGCCGTCTGTCTCTGACATTTTAGCAAGCTGTTACTCCACCTTCAGATTATAGCAGGAGTCTGATCACTCCTCTCCACCTCTGCTGCTGTCCCCCGGTCCGCCCCTCACCTTTGTGGTTTTGGTTTTTGTTTAGATCCCTGTAGCAGCCTGCTGGCCTCCAGCAGGTTTTCCTGCATCCACTCTTTTCCATAGTAGTCCTCAGCACAGTAGCCAAGTGATGCTTTCAGTGGCTAAGTCAGTACCTGAGATCCCTCTTCTAGAAATCCCCCAGGACCCCCACTGCGCGTAAAAGTTAACTCTTAAGTCCTACGGGGACCTACATGCCTTCTCACACTTCCCAGCCCCCTCTTCCTTCTTTGACATCCTCTTCTTTCTCTTCTTCTCCTCTCTCTCTGATCTAAGCAGACTCACCCCCTGGAACATAGCAGATACGTTTCTTTCTTAGGGTTTCTGTTAGGTTGTTGTTAGGTGCCCTCGAGTCAGCTCTGACTGGCAACAACCCTGTGTACAACAGAATGAAACATTGCCCAGTCCTAGGGTCTCTAGTGTCCCCCCAAATTCATATGCACTCAGGACCTCAGAATTGAGCTTATTTGGAAATAGCATGTTTGCAGATGTAAGTAGTTAAGGATCTTGACAAGAACCATCCTGGACTTAGGGTAGTCCCTAAGTCTGACTAGTGTCCTTATAAGAAGAGGAGAGGGCACATAGAGAAGAGAGTGATTGAAAGATAGAGGCAGAGATTACAGTGATGTTTCCACAAACCAAGGATTGCCAGCGAGCACCGGAAGCTGGGACAGAGGTTGGGACAGGTTCCCTCAGAGCTTGCCAACACCTTGGTTTCACACTTCTGGCCTCCTGAACCTTGGGAGAGTAAATTTCTGTTCTTTTAAGCCATCCAATTTTGTGTTGCTGTGTCATGGTAGCCCTAGGACGCTCACTCAGGGCCTTTGTGTTGGTCAGCTTTTCCTCTGCTTTCCCAGATGTCCTCATTTTTAACTCCTTCCCCTCCTGAAGCTTTGGATCCCGTGTTGCCCTTTCAGCGAGGACTCCCCTTACTAGCCCCCACTGCATGTCTGAACCCCTTGCCCTGACTCTATTTCCCATAGTTCTTAGCTTTGAAATATGACAGTAAAACCTGTGAAAGCTGGAACCTGTGTAAGGTGGAAACCTGTCAGAGAAGAAAAATGCAAATATTTTCCCTAAAACAAGTGATTGAAAAGTGGTAAGACTGCACCCTGTCAGAGGGAGAAAACATGAGAGATCTGGAAAAACAAGGTGGTCCCATGAAGTCTGGCTCTCGCAGTTCTCACTGTGCTTAATTTACATGTTTTTATTACCTGCCTTCCCCATCTAGGATATAAACACTGTAAGAGCTGAGATGTTTATCTGTTAATTGGTGCATCCCAAGTGCCTAGTTCCTTGTGCAGAGTAGATAACCCATAAATATTTGATGAATGAATGAATGAATTTTATAGTTGAGGGAATCAAGACACAAGATGGTGAAGAGCACTCGACTAAGGTCACACAGCTAGTAACTGGAGGAATGGCATTTGATTTCAATCCTCAGTAAATAGATTCCACGCCTGGTTCTTAGGAATCTTCCTCATGAGTTTGTTTGTGATTGGCTGATGGCAATAGAAAGGACCCGGAAGGAGTGTGTGTGGGAGTCGTGAGTAGAGGAGTGGTATTCGGAGCAAGAAGAAGCGCAAAGGTAGTCACAGCGGGAGCTGCTTTAAACACTTGTATGACATACAGTTATACCTGGGTTTCTGCAGATGCACATTGCAGGCTCTTGCCTTCCTGCTCTCTTTGGAACTACCTACTCATGTTTACGTGTTAACTTTTGTAGTTACCCACACCACAGAGTCAGCCCTAAGCCTCCTTTTCTCCTCACCCCACTTGTATTGAAGAGCTTATCTTCTCACACATTGCTTTCATCTGTAAATGGCTAAGGGCGTTTGTCAACTTACACAAAAAATTACTGCTTGTTCCAGCTCCCCTGGACTGCAGGCTTCTTACAGGCAGGACTCATAGTGTGGGACCTTGTACTCAGTAGGTGTTAATAAGTGTTCTTGAGTTGTCTGTTGAAGAGAAGAAATTTAATGCCATGGTTGTTGTTGTTGTTGTTAAGTGCCGTCGAGTCGTTTCCGACTCATAGTGACCCCATGCACAGCAGAACGAAACACTGCCCGATCCCGTGCCAGCCCCACAATCCCTGCTATACCTGAGCCCATCATCGCAGCCACCATATCAATCCATCTCCTTGAAGGCCTCCCCCTCTTT